CTCCCGGAGCTTAAAAGGCAAGAGTTCGTGTCGATGAGGACATCGACTACCCAGGGGGGCGGCATGTGGCATGAGGGAGGTCGAACCCGTGATAGGTCAGGGAGTGATCGACCGCCGAAGAGGCGCAGTTTCGGCGGGAAGTATTAGTATATAAAGAGGGCGAGGAGTGTTTTTGCATTCTCGTCTGCGGAACTCGAAGGAGCCCAAGCCCCAACTGCGCCTCTCCCCACTTGGCCCGAGGACTCAATCGCCTGGACTGGACCCTGCGCATCACAGTGATCCCATCTTTTTTTTAATTGTTGTTCATTGTTCTTTAATTTGGTTGTTTATCGCTTGAATTCTTTTTTGTTGTCCGCGTATCGGATAAACTTTTTTGTGTTTCGCGTATCTCTGTGCCAGCCGTTGTAACGGTTCTACTTCTAGTAACCAGGGTTCGGAACTACAATAGTAACCAGGGTCAGGAACTACAGGACAGACAGAACCCTCTGCATTGGCGAAACAGCAAAATCACTACACGTGAAGATTGATAAGCGCATAGATTGCATAAATCGATTGAGAGAATCTACCACCTTGGGGAATCACCGAATTCAAGACCCTACGGAGGCTTTTCGATGCCACTGTGATGTCGTTGCACATGAATCACAATCGTGCGTTCGTGAACCCTCGGGGCATTTTTGTAGGTCTTACATCAGGTTAGCATTTCCATAGTGACTTTGAACGAAGATCACCCCAGCTGAAACTGATCGGGTCAAAGATACTCAAAGTTACGTTGCGTGGTTCTCCCCCTAATCAGCTGCGTGCTCTGGGGCCTAAACTTTAGTGGATTACTGGAGACGCTTGATCGGATAGTCACAATCGTTACGATCCTTTCAAGCTCTAAAGAAGGCGATCCCGCCGAAACGTCTTCATCATGAATAACTTTACAAGCTTCGTGAAAAACTCGAAAACAAGTCTGTGATACAGCACGAATATCACCGCACACAAGAAGCCGTAGAACCACTCCAGTGACGCTCTAAAAACGAAGTAAAAACCACCCACTTCTGGATGGACTAGGCAAACCGCGTGGCGAAATTCGCGGAGATTTAAACGACCGTGGCGCCTGTCATTGAGGCACAGGTTACAAGTAGATTGGATAAGTAGGGCCAGCTGATGCTACTTATCTACCCTACTTCAAATTTGTGCTCCAAGGATAGAACGCGACTAAATCTCGCCACCGGCTGCCGTTTGAGTTACTTTCCTGCGCGCGGGTGTTTGAATTTGAAACGACGTGGTAGTCTTGAAGCCAGCTTCGCGTAAACAACACTCGGTAGAATGGCTTGGGAGTATCAAGCCGATATAAGAAACGAAACGTTTGCTTCGACAAGCCGTATACGATTATTTGATCGACTTTGGGAGTAGTTAATTGTACTGGGGCATACTGATTTGAAATTTGATTTCCTTTAATGCCGTAAGTCAGGGTAGGCATCGCTTTCCAGAACTGAAGCAAGTGATTATGTTACGTGAGTTTCTCACAAAAGCTTTATTAGAACAGAATCAGATATAACATCGCTCTTGGTATTTCTGTGTTCATCGTACTTCAAGCAAAGGCGAACTTGGTGGACTGAATGGATCTCGCTTTTTTTATGCAAAAGCATTTAGTTTTCATCCATTCCTATTTCCTCTGTTTAGATAGTCGCTAAGGCTGCAACGGAATAGGGTTTCTTCCTGAACCGAAGTTTCAGAATACTCAGGATAAACAACCACTGAGCACTATTTGCACCTCCGTGGAGAGGCGGCCATGTGAAGGATCAGTGACCTCACTGCATCTCATACTTAGTCATTGAAATTCACATGGATATTTTTTATACAGAACGATCAAAAATGGCTCGTCTGCGGTTGGTCGATGTTTGGCATCTGATACTGTCACCACTTACGATGGTGGAAGAACTGAGGCATACCCCAGAGTGAAAGCTGAGCAAGTTACTTCAATGCAGAAAAAAATTCGAACTTGGAGTTGGGAAGGATATTCCGAAGATAAGGCAGACATTGGAAAGCAAAGGATAACCCCTATTGACCGTTGGTGCTTAATGCAGTGAAAAGTCCCCTCCTCACCTTTGTTGTATGCCCTTTTCATTAGAGTTCGTAACAAAGAGTTAGGCTTCCACTGACCCTACTCCTCGTTACTCGAATGTAGCGGAGAAGGTCACATATACAACACATATACATCTACTCATTCGCTTTGTAGAGATAAAATGTGCTCCAGTGACAGTCCATGAAAGCCCATTCAAATATTCGCGCGCGGGAAAGTAATTCAAACGGCAGCAGGTGGCGAGATTTAATTCCGTTCCCAAGGATAGGCACCAGAGTCGTTTAAATCACCACGAATTTCGCCGCGCGATTTGCCGCGTCCATCCAGGATTAGATGATTTCTGTTCGTATTCGAAGCATTACAGAGGCGGTTCTACGGTTCTTGTGATCTTTGACATTCCTGCTGTGTTACCGATTTCGAACTTTTCGCAAAATCTGAATGTTCCGTCTCTCAAAAAATAAAACGTGTGATTGCGGTGGTTGCTAATTGTACGCAATTGCACACCGCTGCCGGGCTGCTTTTACGTAATACCATTCAAGTTTATATCACAAAGTACTTGCCGCATTTTGCATATATTTTCCATATAATTGTATAATAATAGTGTTCCTTAATAGCCTTTTTAAGGGCCATGTCGGACGACGAGTTGAATGATAAGGTGTCCGGCCTAAAGATGGGGAACGAGAAGAAACTTACGAAGAGGTATTGTTCCCCTTTTTTTGTTTTCAATATTTCACTCACTTTGTTAGATAAGAGAAAGGCAGAAATTGTTCTTATTCTCAGTTACGATGCAGCTAAGCTTGCTGTCTGAGTCCTTCATCCACACATTTCAGCCTTTCCTTTTCTGAAATTCCTGGAGTAGTTGCCAATAAATCTAACCTCCTGCTGAGAAAAAGATGACAAGCTCAGCTTGTATGTAAACGGAAGGGGAACAGGAGCGTATCAACAAACTTTTGTAACCGCTGCAGCCGAAAAACTGTTTTCGTCGAGGTCGCAGCTATGAGGGTAATGGAACAACTTCATTTCAATGCCGGCGACAGATTGCAGTCTCAACCTTTTTTATTCCAAATACCCGAATAATTCTTCAAGGATCACGAATGAAGTCCATACCTTCGTTACCCATCACTTCAGTTACTAAGTGTATTCGTATATGGAAGCTTCTAACGGTTTCAGAAAATGCCGCTGCAGATGGCTTTCTACCAGTGCTATCAATTACCCCTACAGATAAAACTTTAGCACAACTTTAGCAATTTACTTCTTTTGAAACTGGAATTAAAATTTTCTTGTCAAGTGGGGAAGAAGGAGCATTGGTGCCCGATTTTACGCCCAGGTTCACAAAAAAAAACCAACTAACCCACTGTGCGGTTCTTCGTTCACGCTATACTTGTCGCAGACTCAATGAACTTCTTAATCATTCAGAGAGTTGAAGAAGTTGGCGAAGCGAGCAGGATATGAGAAAGAGATTTTGGCAATGGGTGGTACTGTAGATGGCCAGAATGCAAGCGACATCCATACTGAAGATGGTGAGTTTGTTTGAGGACGAATTTGCTTATTATTGCAATTACGCCATTACGAGTACTTCTCTTAGTGTTCTACACCATGATTCCTGTTATTGGTTTGCTCAATAATGGTATGAGTTCTGTCAATGAGATTACAAATACTGCTTGTCAAGTCACTATTTAGAATAATCTTAAATATTTGAGTTTTTTGCCTTTTCTACTGGCAGAATCAGTGTGCAGAATGTAGTCATGTTATCACAAAAGTGAAATGAGCCCTTACCGTTACATTACAGAACCGAAAGCACAGGGTACAAAGAATGGGTTGCTGACAATTAGCCTTTAAAGATGCTCATGTTTTCTATAGCGACCATGAGACGATAAGTTTTTTAGGCGAGAGAGGAGGTATTGGTTCCGGTGCCGAACTTGGTGGCCAGTTCACTGTTTCTCAATCTTCCCAGAGTCAGACTCAAAAGCAACAGGCTGACAACAATATGGATATAAAGGTTTTGGGCTATTCACAATGTTCGGGTGATAAGTCATTTTGGGGTATAATTTCAGGTGGAAAACTTCGACATTGGTGCCCAAGGCAAACTTCTGTTCAATAAAGCGTCTTTAACTATAGTTTATGGTAGGCGATATGGACTGGTTGGTCCTAATGGGTGAGTAAAGTCTTGATTCTTTTTTTCTGAGTAGCCTTGAATATTGTATGTTTTAGTATGGGTAAAACTACATTGCTGAAACATATAGGATCGAGGCGACTTCAAGGAATTCCTGCTAACATCGATATTCTCTATTGTGAGCAAGGTACGTTGGCTTTGAGAGGTTTTGTTATAAATTGCTGAAGGGCCTCAAAGAGTTATCAGTATTTGGTTGGACATGAACCGTAAATCCGCTTTCTTGATTGAGGTTGTATTAGAGTTAGTATTCATCCTGTCAGCGACATTTTTGATAAAATGCGATTTTCGCAAACATTGGCCGCGTTGATTTTGACTTTTGTCAGCATCGATTAGTTAATCTAGAACGACTACGTTTGTGGTGTATTTTGGCCCAACTTTACGAACTTCACCTCTTTAGGTACATTAGAGATCAGAAGTATTCGGTAGATGGTTTTTCATAGGTTGCTTTCTCCTCACTTGACCATACGCTTTGAAAAAAGCGAATAGCCAAGAGAGGAGAAAACAACACATGAAAAACTGGCTGAAGTTTCCATTTGCACGATTTATAACAGACGCATAATCATTGTGTGATGAAGGAAAATGTGGTCTTGCAAGAAAACAGTTCCGTTTGAAAAACGGCATTAAACATTTGAGCGATCAGTTCCGAAAAAAAGCTTTTTTGAGATTGAATGAAACTGGGAATAGGAAACGGAAGCAGTTTTAATTTGAATCGGAAGAGAAGTAGTTCTGACGAACATTTGCAATGCCGCTGCGTAATGAATTGTGGTTGATCAATATAATCGTCACTATCAGTTCTAACTATGTGAAAGCGAAGGGACCTTATTTAGAAATCGCTGTGGACAGCACATCTGCAATCGATACTGTCGTGAAATCGGATAAAAAGCGACTCGCATTACTTGATGAGGAGTCGGAGTTGACAAAGCAACTCGAAGAAGGGGATAGCAGTGTGGTTCAGCGTCTACAGGAAATCGCTCGTGAACTCCGAGACATCGGTGCCGACGCCGCTGAGCCGAGAGCTCGTCGTATTCTTGCTGGTTTGGGATTTTCTAAGGAGATGCAAGACAAAGCCGTTGAGGTGAGAATCATATTGAATACAATAAAATCCCTGAGGAATATGTTCTACTGGTGCGTTCATGAAAAACGTGGTGTTGCGATCAATCGCATTACATGCTTGCCGTTCGTCAGGTTTATGACGAAAACTTGTTTTTAACAAATTCTCAATAATTCTCAATATATCTCTCGCAACTACACCCATATTGTATTCAATATGGGTGTAGTTGCGTTGAAATCAACGATCATATCCTTTCAGTGCCGTGTTGTTTTCTAGGATTTCTTGGGATGCTTGCGTAAACGAATAGCGGTGCGTTTAAGGCGGCCTTGCGTGGGGGCCGATACCTTTCACCATTTGAGCTTTTTTTCTCTCATATTAAAGTGTCTCAAGAGGCGTGTGCCCTATACCGGGTGAAATTCCGATGTGGTATTTAATTATTTCATGTTGATTTAGGATTTCTCGGGTGGATGGAGAATGAGGATATCTTTGGCTCGTGCTTTGTTCTTAGAACCTACATTATTAATGCTTGATGAGCCTACTAATCATCTAGACTTGAACGCAGTTATTTGGTTGGATAAGTCAGTGATTTTTCTTGATTTGATTTGGTTTCTGATTTGCTACAGTTAAGGCCTAAATTTGTCCACTATTGAATTCCAGTTACCTTCAGTCATGGAAGAAAACGTTGTTAATCGTTTCTCACGATCAAGGATTTTTAGACAATGTTTGTACAGATATTATTCATTTGCAAGACCAAAAACTTCACTATTATAAGGGGAATTATAGTGAGTTAGTGGTAATTATTTGGCTGTATGCTATTCCTTTTTGTTTATGATGGTCACGTGGGAGTCGGCGTTTTTGTTTGTGCCATTTCTCATTTTATTTTCCTATAGGTTTATTCAAAAGGATGTACGATCAGAAGACGAAAGAATATTTGAAAGCCTACGAAAGTCAAAAGAAACAGATGGTAGCCCTGAAAAAAGGTGGTAAGAGTGCAAAACAAGCAGAAGAAGAGCTGAAGAGGAATATGCAGAATAAGCAGAACAAACAAACAAAGGGAAAGAAAGGGTCTGCTTCCATAGGAGACGAAAGTGAGTTTTCTACTTGTAACATCTATAGGCCTACAGCCTGTTGTTCATTCTTTTGCTCAACTGTAGAAGATATGTTTATTAGGCTTCCTATTGGGTTGTAACATAAGTTCGTAGAGTTTTTTCACAAAGATTTATTTGAACCAAAAAACAATAATTATAATAATAAATTAACCAATGATGTGTCCTCCGTTACTGTTCACGACCTCCTCCCATCTATCGACCAATTTGTTGATGGCGATTCGCCGAAAATCGGCCGTTGTGGTGTCGAAGAATTTGTTGAGCCAGTTTTTAAGGTCCCCCTCGCCATCGAAGGAAACACCTCTCATTGGGTTTAACATAGAGCGGAACAGGTGATAGTCGGCAGGTGCAAGATCCGCAGAGTGCGGTGGATGCTGAGGAACCTCCCATTCAAGCTCTTGGAGTGCTGTTTTGACGACTTGAGCAATATGGGGCCTGGTGTTGTCGTGGAGCAAGATGACTTGTCCTCATCTATAAGGTCTTTTCAGCCGAATAGCCTTATTTACACTGTTCAGCTGGGTATTGTAGACCTCCTTGCTGACAGTGGCGTTTCGTTCGAGCAGTTTCGCAGTGCACCATGCCTACCCAGCCCCACCAAACGCAGATCATGACCTTTTTTTGGGTGTTGATCTTGCTTGACTTTCGGCTTTGGCACCTTTCCTGGGGCCACCCACACCTTACAGTAGACACACCTAAGACACCTTCCCCGTACACACTGCATATGTCCCGAGCGGTTTCGGCTGCTTTTTTGACCTCGACGAAAAGCAAAGAAAGGCAGATGTCGAAAATGCTAATTTTTTCTTCCTGGATAATCCATTTCTGAGCCCGACAAAAGACGAACAATTAAATTATCCTAAAAACGAATAAAACGAATTTGTAGAGAAAAAAGAGCTCTTTCAAATGAATGTATACACTTTGCTAAAAAACAAAGTAAGTCGTTGTAAAATAACGCAAAACTCTACGAACTTATGTTACAACCCAATAGTTCAGAGAATAAGAGCATTTGTTATGGTTTTTCATCAGCCTGCTTCAAAATTTTGAAATACGTATTCACTGTTCGAACTAACCTGAAAGTCATTTCAGGTGACCTCCCGCCTCCGGAGTTGTTGCAGCGTTTCAAAGAGTATCAAGTCAAATTCTCTTTCCCAGAAACTGACAAGCTTGCCCCTCCAATTCTTGGATTGCATGGTAAAGCCTTCTGAGACAAATGACTATTCCAATAGTGGCCATTTTCAGACGTTACGTTCGGCTATGGCAACAACATTCTTTTTAAAAATTTGGATTTTGGTGTTGACATGGATTCTCGAATAGCAATTGTCGGTGCGAATGGAGTCGGAAAATCGACGCTACTAAAGCTGTTAACTGGAAAAATTGAGCCTGTATGTTTGTCACTTGACAATTGTGCTTATAGTTAACTTAAGGATGCATCCTATTTCAGTTAGAAGGAGAACTTACGAAGCATCGGCAGGTAAAGATAGGATGGTTTGATCAACATGCGAATGAGGCTCTAAACGGTGAACAGACTCCTATTGAGTATCTGAGCACGAAATTCAATATCGATTACCAGGTAAGTTAAGAGCGCTTGTTTTCTTCTTCTTTGCACTACAGTCTTTCACGACTCGAATTCGTTTTTAGTTTGCACGGAAGAATTTGGGAATGGTTGGTTTGGCTGGCCACGCTCATACAGTTAAAATCAAGGATCTGTCAGGAGGACAGAAGTCTCGAGTTGCTCTTGCCGAGTTGGCTTTAGGGCAGCCTGATATGTTGATACTCGTGGGTATTATTCAAATGTCATGTTACTAACAAGCCAGAAACAATAAAAGAACCTAACGTCGATTTCAGGATGAACCTACTAACAACTTGGATATCGAGTCTATAGACGCTCTTGCTACAGCTATAACAAATTTCGGTGGAGGTGTTGTAATGGTTACTCATGACGAACGGCTAGTTCGTGCCACTGATTGTACTCTGTGGATTGTGGAGGACCAGGTAAAATTAACATGGTTACTTAGACCTTTGAGGGACCTTGAATAAAGCTTGATCCACATTGTTTCATGACTCTTTAGTGGTACGCACCATATGGGCTTGGCCATAACCGCACTCCCTCCCTCCCAATCTTTCTAGGCGATTATTTATTCATTTCATTTGATTCGATTTTTAATCAATTCTTTTATCTCTCTCATTTATAAAGCAGATATTTGGTGTGTCGGTTTGTCGGTTTGGGTGTTTGTCGGTATGTCGGTATGTCGGTGTGTCCGTCCGCAAAAGTTTATGATTACGATAAGAGAGTGATATGGAAAACCCAGCTCTATCCTACATTCCTATACATTTCTACACTTAAGGGGGGGGGGCATTTCTAACTGATTAAAAATGTAAGGAATGAGGGCCCGCGTAAACCGGGCGGCCCAACTGGTTTAAGCATAATCCACCTAATGCTTCCACCACTCCTTCTAAATGATCTTGCCGAATTTCTTCGTTTTTTGTCAGCTTTCTGGAGTGAAGTTACTTCAATGAAGCTACTTTTCTCTCATTGACGCAGAGCAAGGCATATTCCAGTGATTTCGCACCCAATTCGTAGCCTAGTGTGCATTGAAGAGAGGAGCAGTAGAATGTGATCTTTTAGACCGTTCAACTGTTTTGCTACTTCAAGTCTTTGATCAAAATGTGACCAAGCTGGTCAATCGTAACTCGTAAGAAAGATTGCGTCCCTCACCACAACCTCCTGGAGCGTGGCATGGTCGTAGCAAAGGGAAGAGGGCCTTATAGGCTAACCAAAGAAGCTGGAGAGTGTAGCGCTCATGGCTAGGACTGATCAAGGTGCACACAGTAGAATCGCTCCAGCAAATGGAAAAATTTTGATCGTGGTAGAAGGGATAATATGAAGAAATCGCTCAAATTTTCTAGTGAGCAGGTGAAGTATCTGTATCTTGTCAACATCGTCTTCGTTCGATTTCAATTATTGGAAATTCTACAATGCTTGTTTAGAGTAGATCTCTACACAAGTGGTCTATAATTTTCTATAATTGAAATCCTGAAAGGAAAGAACACACTTATTTGGTGTTGCTACATCGCTGCTTGAAAATTTTAGTAAGCAGCAGATTCTACTATTTGGAACTCGCACCATCACATTTCCCTTCAAAATTAAATGGTCCTCGTATCATTGAGTTTTGACCGTTCGTGCAGAGTAATGATTAATTTGAAAAGACATTTTATTTCAGGATATCAGCGAAATTGACGGTGATTTCGACACTTACAAGAAGGAGGTTCTTGACGCTCTCGGTGAAACATTGAGCCAGTAAACTCTGTAACTACGGTGATGCTTTAGAAATTTAAATCACTGTGATTTGGGCGTTTTTGCATGAAGCCGAACTTGTCTGGTCCGTTGTTGAGTCTCGTTATATTTTTTTGGTTAGTTGTTCTTCTTGAGCTTTCATAAATGTCTATTTTCCTAATGTCTATTCGCTCCATCCAGATCGTTATTGAAACCCTTACTTTATGCCAAAGTGATCGGTCCCGGTTAATTACTACACCTTCATATTTAACACGTCCTTTTTTCCTTTTTTTTCCATTCTTACTAACTTCCAATGAGAGGATAAGGTTCGTGGGATATTTTTTTTTCAGGGAAAAATCAGTTTCTAACATCACGGTCTCTCTTGGGCTGGTTCAGCCCTTCAAGTATTACAGTGGAGAGCACATGTACAGAGTGTCCCAAAATTATGGGCGCCTATTCATTGCAATGTACTTCAGGTTTCTAAGCCGGGAACAACATAGGAATCTATATGCACGTTTGCTTACATTATAGGCAACAGAAAGCTACAACCACATTCCAAGTTATTCCCCATTAGCACCGGTAGAGGGCCAAAGTCTCTTCTCGATCTCCCGCACCGCAGGTATCCCTCCTCCATTCGTTCCAAAGATTCTTGAGTCTTGCTCTCACCAGTCAGAGTTCCCAATTAAGATTGGCAGACCCGACAGGTTTTCTTCTAATCAAGAACCATATGAAAGTCCGAAGTGGGTTACGATCTGGAGAGCTGGATGGCCATTCCTCTTTGCCAAATGAAGTCGGGCAGCTGACGTAGGTACCACCCTCGAAGGAGCCTAGCTCTGTGGGCTGGAGCACGGGCCTGTTTGAGGGACCGCGAGCCTTCAGGAAATGTAGGGTCAGTACTTCAGCACGTCTATCCCTATGCTCTTTAAGTACACTTTTGTCAATTTTCACGCCGGTACGGACGAAACCAACAGCTTCTTATCATTGTCTGTGACTCCCTCAACCGGCATCATCTTGCTCTTTCTCTAACAACTTTCCGTAAGAGAATGCACTTTCGACGTTTCTGTCCACAATGCGATGGTTTTATTTGTTGGGGGATTGACATTGTCATGGAAATTTTCTCGTCAGTGGCACCCGCATTTTTTGACCTTACACTGTCTGTCGGGATCGGAAATGAATAGACATTTCTACATTTGATAGGAATGGCGGTGAAGCTTCTTGTCAATCCGCTCCATTGTCATCTTTGATAAGTCCTGCTCTGTTGCCTCCCTTTTGATAGGTCATCCCCGATCAAGATCGACTCGCAAGCCGATTATTTTAATAGTCCTGTCTTTGAAAACAGTGGCCTTTCTAACCATTCCGGCTTTGTCTTTGATTGGTTCCGCTCGCATCATTGATAAGCCTTCTGTACTGTCTTTAGCGGAATCCCAGGAAGTATTACTAGTATGCCCTGAAATTGATTGCAAGTTCCATGAATGCTTTTTCATAATCCTAAAGATGTCGTGTTTTACTTCAGTAACTATGCGGAGTGCAAGGGGACCTACTTGTTTAACTAAGTAATAGCGAAGGGAGTAATTTGATAAATTATTTCTGTCTTTCTGAATTCTGGCGTGTGCAATTTTCGGACTCACTGTACATATTTCAGTCCTCAGCATCAAATACGGGAGTAAAACCCTAAAGCGAAGGCTGCTGAAGTTTTCGAGTGATTTTGATGTCATTTTCCGCTAATCCAAATGTTTTCATTCAGTAGGAATGTTTTTGTATCTCTCAAAAGTTGGTGCGGACGCCATGTGCTGCTCATATTTTGAAAATCCATTCGATAATGTTTTTGTTCCGTGCGAAATTAAATCACTTTCGAATCAGCCGTCGAGGTAATTATCTTTCGGTTTGTTTTTGCTCTCAAAGTTTGAGAGCTGCTTTTTCGTACTTGTTTTTCAGACAGACCAGACAGGCGTTTGTTGGAAATATTCATTTAGGTTTTCCCATACAAAATTCTTTACAGTCATTATACGTTAGAAAGTTATTGAAATTGCNTTGTATCTCTCAAAAGTTGGTGCGGACGCCATGTGCTGCTCATATTTTCAAAAAATCCATTTGATAATGTTTTTGTTCCGTGCGAAATTAAATCACTTTCGAATCAGTCGTCGAAGTAATTATCTTTCGGTTTGTTTTTGCTCTCAAAGTTCGAGAGCTGCTTTTCCGTGCTTGTTTTCCAGACAGACCAGTCAGGCGTTTGTTGGAAATATTCATTTAGGTTTTCCCATACAAAATTCTTTACAGTCATTATACGTTAGAAAGTTATTGAAATTGCCTCCATTGCCGAAGTAACTGAATCGTATGCAATTGGAAAGGCCTGGCTGGTATACATAGCGTCCATAGTGTTTCATGGTCTGACTTTCAGAGCCAGAGGACGCCGGTAGTGAACAAATATAATCTGAAATCAATGTGTATTCAATGCTTCGCACAATTAAGGTTTACCTGAAAACTTCTTCAAAATTCACGTAAAAAATCACGTTTTAGGATTTTTTGACAAAAATATTGAACTTCCGAAATAAACTTCCGAACGCTTTTGCGCTTTCTCGGGCGTAACTTTTTTCTTAGTGAAGCAAATCGCACGAAAATTAAGTATGCTCAACTGAAGCAGATTTCACACTGTCTTACACTATTTGACTGCAAAGCAGCAATATCCACGTAACTAAGCAGGGTGTTCATGCGGTAGTAGGCTTCGCTGAAAGTGAGTTGGCAACGTATGCAATTATTCGCACCTTATGTACGTTCTCCTCCTCTACAGGGTGCGCCATAAATATGGTAACAAAAGAATTGGGCTCCAAAAACCCCAGGTAATATTGAAACATGGTGAATTTATGTGGGTTCTTTACTATGCATCACGTCTACAAAATGAACACACGGCCATCTTATATAACCGTCTCCTTTACTAATTATAGCTCAAGAATGCTTCGGCTACTCATCGACGGCGGCACGCAGAGTTTCTTGGGAAAATCCAGCTGGGATTTTTTCAATGGTTTCTTATGAGCAGCAACAGTAGTGTGTTATGAAGCGCAGGTTTTCCTCTCCAGTATGAACTATATCCGGCAACTCATCACATTGTAGTCCGGAAAATCCGTGCGAGGTTCGGAAGCTGAGATAAATTCGCGAACACTCCCTCAGCACCAGTCCTATCTTTTCCCATTCGTGAACAGATGCGCCACAGTTTTCAAATCGTATCCCTAATAAAATTTTTGACCCCGGGCTGCTTCCTTCCAGAAAACTTTTTTAAAGAGGTTCGGAATAATTTTTATACTTTTCTCGACTAAAACTTGCGATATCGACCTGATAGTAGAGTTTCTAGCAAAAACTATCATCAAAGAGGGAAAATAGCTATGAGAGGCGATCTGGCTATTCTCAGCGGCTTCAGCACTGATAATGTGAATTATACGTATACTTTGGGCTTTCAACATTTCTTCCACGCTGAACACCCTTTAGTCAAGAAAAGGTTTGTCGAAACGCGTGCCGCACACAAGCAGCGCACGGTATTTGTTCTTTCTCTCCAACTTCTCCTCGTCAAGAAGCTTATAGGGCTAGGGAATCTTACCTCGATACAATTGTATTTACTAGGGGTAGACTCTTCTCATCGGAGTAGAACACACAAACAAATAAACAGTCATTTTTCTCGTATTTTGGCAGGTTTTGCAGCGTATTCCTTTCCAGCTAANNCTATAGGGCTAGGGAATCTTACCTCGATACAATTGTATTTACTAGGGGTAGACTCTTCTCATCGGAGTAGAACACACAAACAAATAAACAGTCATTTTTCTCCTATTTTGGCAGGATTTGCAGCGTATTCCTTCCCAGTTAAATCTACTCGGGAAAAGGGTTGTATGTGAAGCATGACCACCGTCCTAAGGTTTAGCCCGACCTGTCTACGCATCGCGATTCCAGAGACTGCCAATGGGGAAAATGTTGAAACGAGGAGCGATTCCAGAAAGGGACCCACCAAATGCGCGCAAAGACAGAACGGCTGATAGATGTCTGCGACGCTTCACCGTTTCTCGAAATCTGACGAATTGAGAGCACCAAAGTAGATATGTAGCCTAATGTATATCCTCAATATAAGGGAAGGTGTAGATTTGGAGAAACCCGCCAAACAAGAAAATTTCGGACGTCCGAAGAACTGTTAACATATTAATGGCGCACCCTGTACTGGGTTCGGCATTAGCGCTCGTACATATCAGACATGGCAAAAAGGAAAGAACTTCTAGAAGGACCATCCTCTGTATTTCCTGTTGATTTTGAATTCAAGCTCTTTAAGATATCGGGAACATGACCAGATTGCAATTTAATGGTGATAAATATTCACAGTACACCCATGCTATACATATTGAAAAGTTGCATGATTAAGTCCAGTAGGAAAAGAGTTACGATGAAAAGTGCGACTGAAGAAGCATTTGGCCGAAGACTTTCGAGCGCTACTGTATGAAAAGGTATGAATTTGAATATTTCTGGGACTTGTGCGACTGGAAAAGGAAGTATCCTGGGAGGATTTATCAACATTTCTCGGTGGCCTAATATTTTTATTCGTCTGATGAAATTACTTTTACACGGCTTCTAAACATGGTTGTGCAATCCGCAGAAATATCAGTTATCTGCCGGTTTTTCTGGGAGCTATGTCTTTCAAATAGATAGTAGGTGAATAGGAAAAGTTTGAAGAATCAGAACAAGGAGGTATCCGACGGAAGATTCCTTCAGTGGGTAAAGTCGTTACCACAAGGGTGCAACAATTGCTATAATCATACTAGAGGACGAGTCATTCCATGGGAACCCTTTCCCGGATAGCATGCCACAGATTATCACCATGCTAATGTAGCACACACTGTGAAAGTGCAGCCGTAACGCGAATCGACTGGATACAAAATCATTTTTGGGCAATATGTCAACTTTCCCCCTTTTTCCTTCTTCTATAAAGATGTTCAGGTGCGAGACCTGTCCGGAGGGGGAATTCTGAACAGAACAGGGCTACCCTTTAACAAGCTGAAGGTTTTATCATTAATATATACTACTATAGTTACTGTTTCAGTAACGATATGATTTTGAATGAAGATCAAGTGCAAATTGGCGAATCGTGCCCAATATAATCCATTGCAGCTAATGTTTTTTGCTTGAGTAAAAACGGAACCGTTATTTATACCTTTCATTGGGCAGCATTTATTATTTTTGTTACACCGATATCCTACCGGGCAGCCGTCATCGCAACTTTTTGCCATTTCTGGAATCTTCGCATCGGTTCGAAGTTCGCATTCAACCACTGAAACAACAGTAAATTTGCAGTGCTCCACTAATCTGATCAGTTGTGATATATTGTAGTTGAATGTGATCCCGCAGTTAGTATTGATGTGCTATGTTTGAGGCAATCAATTACGATATGCTCACCTACTGACCCTTTGTTCTCTAATGCGAAATTGGTTGCGTTTTTTGGATGAACGCATTCCTTCTTGCACTCGGCTACTGTATTAAACTTGTTTTCATTGCCACCGCAACCTCGATGATACATTGGTTGACAGGAACCTGAAATAGATTCGTTGTTACTACTCCTACACGTAGACCCTTGTAGATAGCCTGTTATCATATTTCAACGGTGTAGATAAAGGGACTGTGAAGTTCTCCTACTGGTAGCGCCATAACTACACAAGCAGTAAAGGATCAAAAGTGAATCCCGATCAACCTATAACTAATGTCAGCCAGAGCTATGATGTCGAATTTTAGCGGAGTGAGCGTTAATCAATCCCATCCGAAGGATGCGCCCCGCAGTTAGCTCTCATCAGAATCGTTTTGGCGCATTGGATGCGTATGTAGCCTACACAATGACTTGCGGTGGCTAGGCAATAAACAAGTCAGTGCTTTTATCCTCCCTGACGAGTCTGGTACCAATCTACCGACTCCGGAGAGATGGAAGTGAATCTTGGGAATACAATGATCCAAAAAGTTATGTCTGTCTCAGGAAGCTTTGAATCTGCAAAATATTACCAATTCGTGCATCGTAGTAGAATAACGTTTTCTCGACTTCATCACAAGAGTAACCTCGATCGCGTGGTAGGTGGCAGTCCACAGCGTTTCCTGAAGATGCCAAAAACTCGATACAAGTCTTTTTCATAAGATACCGAAAGCAATAGTTCGTGGAAACATACCGGTACCACTCAGCAGTAGAATTAGGACCACATGGAACATAACTCGCTGACCTGCCTTCTGGAATCGCTGGAGAGGGCTAAACCTTAAACTTGCAAAGCTAAAACAAAAGGAGGACGGAAATGTGCAAGTTCTCCAGCGCGGAGAGATTATGCTTATGCATTCATCAATTGATGTCGAAATCTGATAGGAAAACAAGCCGAAGCTGCTTATGTCCAGTAACTTCTTTTCCCTCCATATGCCCAAGGTTGCACGCTGTGGGATCAAGATAAGGAGCGCTCCTCCTTCCACTACGGTGTCTGCAAGCTACCGATTCTACATCATTGCAAATCCACCGCATGAGGGTGGATTTTTTTATAATATCGGTAAATAAATATCATTTACCTTTAAATGTGACGAGCTTTAATCAGTAAAATAGATGTTCACAGTTATTTCGAAACTTCACCATAGCCTTCAGCTCCTTACGGCTCAACAGCGCAGTCGAATTCTTTCTAATACGACTAATTGTTGTTAGCATCGTGAGTAAAGTTAAACTCTTAGCTTATTTCGCTGATACCTACGCGAATTGGAGTCCTGAGCTGAAGCATGACATCAGGGAACCTCGCCTCTTCTGCTTAACCTGTAGTGGGTCTCCAAAGTCAAAGTCTTTGGGCACTGGTCATTCCATCTTCGAGGTGCGCTCAGCATTCGAATTCTATTCAAAATTTCGATAGCGTTTTGAATGCGTATGCGACTCATACTTGTTAATGACCTACGGAGGCCGACTCTTTTTTCATTCTCTTAGAGACAAGACTGGTACCGGTTAATCCGCTAGGAAAGATTGACTGCCCTGGGTGGGTACATAGATTGATTATTTCCCACCACATCATTTAAGTTCATTCTTCATGCTTCATCGAAATAGTTCGCCAAATTTTGATTCAGCTGTCTCCTTAACTGGGAGAGAGCTTATTTTTGGAATTTTGAGCTCTCTGTTTAACAACCATACCTTTCAATGGTCCGTTGACGGTCACACTATACCTCCGCAGGCGTATATTTACTGTGCTGGTTCAAAACCCCCCTCATACGACCTTGGAGAGGTAGTTTGGGGATGTCTCCAAGACTAGGATCAATGTCTTATGTACAGTCTTTTATAGAAGAGACTAATCAATGCTGCACAAATTATCCTTGAGGCGGTCAATAGGGTGCTGATCAGAAACGGTCCATCAATAATGTTGAATTCAAGACAAGGCAAGAACTTGTTTTCTTTGACTGAAGAATGGAAAGTCTCTCGTACCAGCTATCGCTCATGAAGCGGTACCGTCTTCAATACAGAAGCGATTCCTCCAAGAACGGTTAGCATGACGTGAGTAACGCGGCGTGGTATCTAACAAAGATTTTTTTAAAGAATCGTTAGAAAATATTGGAAGGTATTTCACGAATTTATCCTCGACGGTCACCCTCTTACAACGTTTTGTGCTGTTAAGTATGAATCAGAATGCACAGTGGGTCCGATGAAGCGGAATCCCTCCCTAAAGACACGCCACTTTTTGGCAGCGTGTTCTCCGAAAGAACGAGCTTGCATGAAATGTAGGCTTCCTAGTCCATCTTTCTTCCCTTAGGATTCAAACCCTTCTCCACAGGCGGTCATATTCTGTTACAGTTAGACTTATCCGGCCGAACCTGGCCAAGTTGTCTGTCTGGACCAGTCAGTCCCTTGTTACTAGAGTTTTCTATCAGTTGAACGCACTGATTACACGGATAGTATTGAGGTACCCATTTTAAGTTGAAAAGAGGAAGTGTTGATGTATGTAGTGCATCGGTGACGAAGAAAGCGAAAGATTTCGTTGATTTCCAGAAAAATATGGCTCCTCAAAATTAGGGAAAATAGAGGTTGGACGGATTACCATGACGGAAATAACATGGAAGGGATATTGGACGAAATTTTAGCTGTGGCAATTCGGAAAGAGCTGACTAAATCAAGTAAAATTTGTCTAAAACTGCTTTTCACTGTCACCAAGGGTTGTGACAAGTTGTTAAAACTCCCTACATTAGTTCCTTAAGATAGCGCGGCCTCTACAACACCGTTGAGACTCTTACTCTGGGGGTGTGGCATTCACCGGTACAATAACTGGCCCCTTATTATGCCCTATCCAGGACGTTTCTCGACCTGTCATCGGCACATATGGACATATGGTATCAGGAGAGGCCTCGAATTTATCTTATGGGGGAATTTCAGAAACCATTTCTTCGTGAACTCTGCCTTCAAGCCAAATATACATCCCCTCGTACCCCTCATTTCTAGGGGAAAAAATGCAAAATGGATAACAGGTTAATCAATCACTGTTGGAAACGTGATGTTAGCACTGTTTTTCTATGTCTGCGAAATGTGCTGGTGACTGCAAACTTGCAAGAAGTCACATGATTGATTAACAGGAAGCAATGATCAAATCGTTGAAACTTTGAAGACCAAGAACAGCTAGATCGAGTTAAGGAGTTATTTACATTTACATTTACATTAAGTTTATTTACGATGTTGAAATTCTTGTGCCATACATTTCTTTCTGCGAAACCGTCGATTAAGTGCAACTGCTAAATGTTTCGACGTGATCGTTTTCTTCGAGGGATTAGGTTCCACTGTTGAAACGAACAAAGTCCGCTGACACCCAAGGCGGCCCTCAGTCGCTATCGAGACAAAGACGTTCGAAATTGATGAATGCTTCCAATTCAAAACAAGACTATTACTAATGGAACTGTCATGGTTTAAGGCGAAAGTGGCGTAGTGGCATAGAATACACTACCACACACACATAGTCACCGATTCGAATCCCGGATCGATAGCCGCCTAGGCCAACCAAGCTTTCCATCTTTCTGGGTCGGTTAAATGGTACCAGATTCATTTGGGAGGGCAAATGCACCGACTTGTACATTGGCTGGCCACCGAAGTTATTGTATAGGCCACATACGCATTCAATACGCGGCTACAGTTCGAATGGAAGTCGAATGCGTGGGCGCATCCGTCGACGGGATTGATTAACGCCTCAGAACTTTATCTTTACTTTAAGTCTGACTATAACAGAATACATTGTGGGCTTTTCGTAATCACCGCTTGTGACGAACCTTCCGAACGCTAAAGGAGGAAAGAGGAACTAGGAAGGCTAGTTTCCATGCAAGCTCATTCTTTTGGGAGACACGCTACCAAAGAGAGGCATGTCGTTCGAGCAGGGATTCGGCTTCGTCGGGTGCAGTGTGCATTTTACTTCATATTCAACAGCAGAAAACGTCGTAAGAGGGTGACCATAAGAGGACAAATCGTGCATTACTTCTCAATATTTTCTAACGATTCCCTATAGTGTCTTGGTAAGGAGATCACGTCACCTTACTCATGCTCATGCTAATGGTTCCTAGAGGAATCGCTTCTGTATAGAAAAAGGTGGTGCCATTTTATGAGCGCATCTGGTACGAGAGACTTTCTGCTCTTTAGGCTCGTACTTACTACTCCTAATAGGGACGATCCTAATCCTGTAAGGGTTCTTGCATGGAATGTAAATCCTATTTTCGAATGTATTCATAAGCAATGATGAATGTAACGCGAGCAGTTTGAAAAAAGCGTTGCGGCCGTCCTAGACTGCTTTTGCAGCGGAAAAAAGAAGATTGAGCACGTGTTGGGGAATTTTACTGTAAATCTTGGCAATGTGGCACTGACATAGGACTTCACGTGAGCAAAACGAGTGGGGGCTCTACAGAAAAACGAAAACATCAAAAAAAAAANAAAAAAAAAGCCTAAAGGTATATCTAGCAATGACGCGAGCGAGTATGGAGTAAGGAAATGAAGGCCAGATAGTGAACACTTCACCAGTGGGCCAGAAATCAAAAAAAAGAAGAGAACCTGAAAAACTCGGTCTTATGTAATTCTTCATTTTCAGCAGTTCAGCATTTGTGCAAGAGTGGATGTAGGTCACATACGTGTAGCCTCCTTCATGAGCTCCTTGATAAGCTCGTCAAAAAGCGTCTTTGGTAGAAGTGGGCGTTTTCGAGCAACTCTTTGCCTTACCCTGCATCCTTTTTATTTCATTTGGGAGGCAACCACCTACATTCACTGGAACTACACTCTTATCCTAGTTAACTGCTTGCACATTTTTCTCGTCCCTTGATGGATTTTAAAAGGAACCTCATTCAGCGACGAACTTTTGGCAGGAAGTGCCTAGGCTCTCTTGAACTTTTCTGAGTGGTTGCAGAGCTTTGACTCGCACTTGATCCATGCACTGTAGGCTCCAAAGGATTCCAGAACGCTTTAGAGCAACTTATGTCAATCCATCACTAACGATACCTTCTACCCTTGAATTGGTGGCTCCCTCGGTTACCATATGTGGCTCTGTCAGGTCGGAAAACGGCCTAGATAAGACGTTATAGGGGCTAAGAGATTGTATCGAATGAATGCCATGCCCATAGCGGACGAGTTTCAACAGCGTAAGGTAAAGCAAGTGTTGCCAGACTCACAACATTTTCATACATGGATATGTGGGAATAAAATAGAATGATAACTTTTTCTAAGTGCAAAGAGCAATCCAGTGAGAGGGACACTCGGACACCAAGCTCTTTCTCGATAGCGGAGACATCTTATCTCGTTGAAGCTTTTAGTTGTACAACAGGCAATAGTGACGGTATCAGATTTCATGAAGCCTATCCCATGATACATTGAAAATAGTAACGGTTCTTATGAGGTGACATACTGCCAATAGGATAAAACACGGTTCTTTCTTGCATTTCTGCCGCAGGAGACACGGCAGAAAATTAAGACGGTTGAAGGATCATCAGCAATATCCTGGGCTCGCTTCAGGGCGATTCAGCTTTCTCTATGGTTGTCAGTTGGTTGTCATGAGCGAAAGCAAAGCAAAGTCGGAGTGTTCCTGTTTCGATGAATGTGCTCCCTACAGCTCACTATGACAGTTTTCTTAACAATTTATCCCCTGGGTCAGAGGTGACGTTTAATAAGTGTGCGGGTGTTCTCTATTCTAACAGTCCCATCATTCTTCCAGCACTTACAGCAAAGATCAACAAGGGTTCCCCCATTGACAAGTGCTTTAATGCATTCGTGTGATTGTAATAAATGAAAAAAGGCCAAGAAATATTCAACAAAGATCAGAACAACAATCTGGGGCAACGATGTGGCGAATGAGGTGTGCCAGGCTCTCTGGCTGTGACCCAGAACCAGTTCCTTGTCGTCGGCGGTTTCATCAACGGCACTTGGCAGCAAGAACAGCCAAGTAAGTGAAAACATCGTTAACGCTTGTCAACAGTCTCTCGGCAGCATGTAAAGGTCAAGGAAAACTGGAAATTTCGTTTTTGCTCAGATTAAAGTAAAGAAGTAAACTTCCAGAAGAAAAACGTCGCAATCTCGGTGTCTCTTTTTCTTTAAGACTATCTTGTCTCTCATGAGGAAGAAATCAATCATCGTGATATGTGGAAAAGTTCCAGCCGTTCCATTGCTCATTCTGTGTCCCTTCTTTCACGTTGATGACTATCTTAGAATAATTAATCAGCTGTTCTTCTTGTGAAGCGATTATTTCAGAGCTGGTTTTGAGCTGAACACTGCGNGGGGGGGGGGGGGGGGGGGGGGGGGGGGAGTCGGCGGTCTGTATGTAATTTGGTGTAGAAGCACATTTTCACAAAGTCAGAATTCAGAGCGATGTAATTTGTAGTTCAGACTTTTCATGCTTATTTAGGGTACTGTTCACGTTATATCGAACAGCTGGCTAGAGACTTCGAATATCCGTCATTACCAAAAGACTTCTAAGTCAAAATTCAAATTTTTGGTTTTTTTCGACAAGCCTGAGTGCATGTGGGCGATTTCTCGAAAACCCTGAGCTAAGGAGATCCGAACGCGAACTATGCACTTTGGGAAGTTCTTCTCTCTCTTCGTGCCCCAATTCCTATTGGTGTATGAAGCAGATCTGTGCCTTGAAATGTTCCTCTTTTCAGTCTTCAATCTATAATCGTTTGCTCTTTTCGTTCCGTAGAATCCAGTCCTTCAATTTTTGCTATATCCGTTGGCATTGGCGATGTCCTGGCCATGAAAAACTGATCTCTTTATTTTACTCAGGGGACAGGATCGTCTATAACAGGAGTGGCTACTACCCATTTTATCTCGGCGTTTAGATTCAAATTTCGGTTTTTCAAACTGTTATTTCTTTGACGAGTGTGAGCTTTTTCTTACTCTTCCTGAGGTAGTAAGATGACAAGCCAACGAAAGGGGTAAAGGAAAGATTTATTCTAGCTCCAAGGACCATAAGTAATCCGGAAACGTTACACAGAGATTACAAAAATCAAATCGCATGAAGTGGCAAGAGATCGACAGCTAGAGCAACCCGTTTGAATGTATTCATATTTGCACAATAGATGAAAATAAATACCCGTGAAATCGATAGCAAGCGATTAACATTTGGCTCGTAACAGACGAAGAACACAACGACGAAGCATTAAAGCGGTGGAATGGGTGCAAAGGTGCGAGCAGGTGAATGAACGAAGCAAAAGGAAAAGCGAGATGGCGTACGAGGTGCAGACGGCGGTCAGACATGAACCTGCTTTTGAAGAAAAACTTTTTGTAGACCACTTCGGCCATCTTTGCCCACGAGAATCGACTTAAATGCGCGACGAAATTCAGTGTTGAAAATTGTATAAATAATCGGATTCATAAATGAATTCATGTAGCCGATCCATGTACAGTAGAAGAATAAATCGAAGCCAACCTGAAATCAGAACCTTTATAGTTATGGTCGTTTTTTTCGGGAATCGTTTTTTCGGTGTTGGGTTTATAGTTCCGCGCTGAAAGCATGTAAGGATGAGAACTGTAAGCTGCCTAAAGACGGGCCCTATCCCTAATGGGCCCTTAGAAAACGCTCCAGCAAGGAAAGGGAGAACCATGCCCAAAGAAATGACTTTGTAGGGCGCGAAGTTCCAAGTAGTCTTTTCTTCGCTGCCGTCAGGTTATGTCCTGATGGTTGAGCAGGAAATTGATGGAGCACTTTCCATCATCAAATAGAGAGCAAACATCCCTCGAACGTCATCTGGCCTCAGCCACTACGACTCTGTGTACCTTGTCGAGAGTTCGTAGAAGAGAGACTTCACAATGGTAAACCTCCCCATGGTTAATTTCCTGAAACAGTGATGGAATAAAGAGGAATACAATTAGATTACGCAGCGGAGCACACCATTACTCTTGGAGCATGCCTCTTGTATAGGGTTCAAGTAAGAATGAGCCCTAGAGAATAAGAGGCTGAGAGCAAAATTTTTTTTGGCTTGGTTATGCGTAAATCACAATCAATTTCTGCTCCACAGTCACTTGTGCGACATAAGGCAATGGGAAAAGGTTGTTTTGGACGACAGAATGTGCGAATAGGAACCCTATTTTTGGGTACTTCTCCCTTCCCCGCCTATTTTTCCATCCTACTTCTGGGGGTAAAATAACATGTGTTGATTGCGTGGCAGTACATAATATGAATCCACAATAGTATTACAGTAAGGATTTTGACGGACGAAACTATTTCCCAACAACTTTGACTTTCACTTGCAACTCAGTCATCATCAGTCGCTACGGCTGCTTTCATAGTCCGCCGGCTGGCCGGCCGGCCGGCCGGCGGACTATGAAAGCAGCCTATTGAATGAACAAAGAAAATATTAGCGGTCGTTTGGCGAATGTTCCTTCTGATGACACAGCCGCCGCACGGCTCTACTGAACTGGTCCCTAACTCTTGGCAAAAAATGACTTCTTTGATTAATGGAATAGGCCGGACACTTACTGATTAGATCAATTCGGAAATGGACTGCAGGCGAAAGTAAAGTAGAAAATACTCACCTGGCAGAATTCTTTTTTCATCAAAATACAGATAGCATTTACAATGTTGATGAAGAAGAACGGCACCCAGCAGATGAGGAATACGCCGACGACAACACCAAGTGTTTTGGTGGCACGTTTCTCCTTCCTCTGTGATTTAGACACCTGAAAAGACAGAATACCCGTTCGAGTTGTAAGATAGACAGCAGATTAGGGAAAGTTTCAGAGGCAAGTCGTCGCCCAACGAATGGAATTACTAACATGCTCAAGATAACCCTGATTTTCCTATTGTTGGGATTGGACCCTGAATAAGGACAGCGTGTTAAGCGGATTATTCATGGCTTGTGTAGAATTGTTTTTCTAAGTAATTTCTGCGTAAGAGACCTTTCGTTTGAGGCTTTGCTCATGTTTCATGGTTTTCTTGACGATTTTGCTCGCAATGCCATTCTTCACGCTCTTCAACGATGGTGCCTGCGAATCGGTCGATTTCAATGAGCAAACGCGTTTCTTATCCTCTGGCTCCTTTGTCAACGTCTCTGAAAAATGATAAATTAGCGATAATATGTTCGCAGAACACGGTGTATCCCGTATCTTGTTAATGAGGTTGTCTAAAATTTATAAGAATCTTTTATGCGTCGAGAAACCAGTTGCTAATCAGATGGTCTTTTCGTAGAGATCAGACTGAAGGTCTCGGCAGAAACTGGCAAGGATCGCCTTCAAACATTTCGGCGATTATTTTTATTCCATTGTTTCCCTCCACGGCCCTTGAAGCCCTTTCCGGCGGAAGTGATGGCACATCAAATGGCTCACTTCACATAAACACCGCTGGCTCGTGGATCAAATCCAGGATCGGAACTGTCTAGACCAACCAACCAGGAAATGACCAATGCCGAAGACTTTATTCTTATCCTTTTATTGTCCTTTCCGAAGAGGGTCTACTACTTTCAACAAAACCGGTAGTTTGTGTATTGGAGTAGACGACAGACACTTTCGAGTCCAACCGGAGATTAGTGGGTCGAAACTCCTACGCAAGTGAGTTTTCAATTTAAACCACCCCAGTGACAGAATTTTAACAAACCTTGGAAAGCTCTAAGAAGAGATATCGTAAGTTAAGGAAACGCACTTTATTCGAACAAATAATAGTTGTCTACGGCCCTATCTGCCTTTTATTGCCAGAATTCACTAAATATCGAAAAACCAAGGAATTCACCTGGCAGTGGCGATTTTGTCAGGATAGCGACAGAAAGCGGCTTGTTCTCATCGTCCTCTTCTGCGGGAGCATCGTCACAATCTTTCAGTTGAGAATCAGCCGCTGTTGTTTCTGACATCTCACGGACCATCATGTGGAACTTCACTTTCTGCTGAAACTAGATTCGTTTGATTTTTCTGATCAAATCGCTATCACTAGGAGAGGAACCTGTAGATCACCAGAAAATAAGCTTTAGACAAAATGGGAACCTGTTTTGAGCTACAGGAGTGGACTGGGAAAAGGACTTTACAGTGAGAAATAAAACAATCAGAACGTGTTGGATTTGCAGTCTTGCAGGTTTCATTTTTCGTTTTCATGACTCGATTTTAAATTTGGAAACGAGTTAATTCTACAATAATACCATTCCATTGCTGTGTAAGGCGGGGATAGGTCAGTACCTCGTGGTTACCCCATCATGATAGATTGAATTGCACTTCCAGAGTCAGCGAACTCTCAGTGGCTTCTAGTTAGTTTGTCATGGTCTTCAGTTTTCAAATGGATGCTTCGGAGATGGAGGCTCCAGGCTCATCTGGACAAGGACGCAGCGCTCTTCCTGGAACTTCTTACTTTCGAGACGCGGAGGCGTAGGGGGCAAATACTTGAGCAGGCCTCAATTATGCTTTTGGAAAATGGGGATTTGGAGATTTCAAAAAAGGTCAGCTGAAGTAAAAGGCCCAGCACGTGAAGGAAGTGTTGAATCTCTCACATAAACTGTTTCAAATCTTATCAACAATAAGGACGACAGAGTTTTAAAATCTAAAAACTTGTGGAAAACAGTCGTTACAACATCTGATTCTGTTCTTCGGCTAAAACAAGACAGTAGAATTCGTGAGTAACAAAAACTATGGTCAAGGAGTGCTTTCTGCACTAACCTGTGAATCGGTCGGTGTATCGACGGCAGTGACCGCCTCGTTGGCCGAACTGCCCTCTTCTGGAATACCCAGAAGATCACCACCTAAACAGCAAAAACGATTTCTACGGTAATAGAAGAGAGCAAAACGGCAGTTTCACTTACTGTTGGCGGTGGTGCTTCGACTGCACGGTCGAACCTCGTCATTTAACGGTGTAACGTGTTCACCTTTCGCCTCCTCGGGTGAGCCGTCGAGTAGGGGATTGGCAAGAATCATCTAAACAAATTGAAATCAACTTCTTATCCCAGGAATGAGACATGCTCGGTATTGAGCAAGAAGGAGTAGCTATCCTAATTCACAAGAAAGGAGGAACTGCTAAAATTTGAAAAAACTTTCCTAGACACACAGAGATTCAAAATCGGTACGAATTTCTAGGAACACCCTTTGAGAACGGGCAGGATATTTCACTAATGAGGCGAAAACATCATCGACAACACAGTTCGTTTCTCGATCGTTTCTTCAGTATCCAGAAGAAATGTTGGTGGATTTTGGGTGGATGAGTCGAAACTTCTTTGAGATGAAGTCAAAGGTAGTCCTACTTTTGCAGAGTTGCAGAAGGAGGGGTGGCGGGGTTGGAGGNGGGGGGGGGGGGGGGGGGGGGCTGTCTATGCGATTCCAACAACTAATAAAGAAGCGATTGAGAGAGCTCCACCGATGCTCTTCAAAGTATCAGCCATAAACAGTCTTCCCCATTTTACTCGGATATCTGAAAAGTGTTGGGCAGAATTTCAAAAAAGTTCTGAGTTTTTATAAGTGAAATTGCAATAAAATACCAAGGAGGGACTATACCCATATGCGCGTCACACCCGAGAATTTCACGATATGGCCATCGGTTGAATAGATCGAGATTCCTATTGAACCTTAATGTTTCCGGTTTCGGAAGAGCGAAGCGTGCACAGAACCACTCAAAAGGCTTCAATGCCAAGTGTCTGATTCATGATCCGATGGGTTCCAGCTGTAGAGGGGGCTGCTTTGAACTCGTAAAAAAGTATGTTTCGACTATGGGGAGGAAGTTTGGTTATTTGAAGATTATGCAAACAAGGGAGAGGGATTCGGCTGTGTCCTACGCATATCCGTACACGCACAGGTGTGGTTAACGCCCTCATGTAACAATTCCATGGAAATTTCCAGAAAACTCCGAAAAATCTGGACCCTTGTCCGATACCTTCGAAACGAATTATTGCCGAGCAGATTCTCAACTTTTTGAATGTAGCTATGTATACGTCTTTCTCCATTTCTAAGCTTTTTCATAGCGAAAGGAAGTGGAACAAGTAGGTTTTTCTGAACATCCATAGATGGTATGTATTTTCTGGCAGTCTTGGTTTTTGATTGACGACACTCTTACCGTCTCCGTATCCGCTGTCCGATCGTTGGTATTTTTTCGGAAAAGCCTAGGACTTCGTCGTGAGATTTGTCGAAGAATCGTTGGCAAAATTGCATCGCTACTTCGACGTATTCTGCAATCCGTTCGTATTGCCATAAACACGATAAGGAAATGGAAGGGAAACTGGTTAGTTGAAAACTGAAGAATTTCTAGATGAAAATAAAGAGTAAACACAGCAGCTGCGAAGCAGGAAGGTAAAGGAAGCCACAGCTTGATAATTATACCAACATGCAAAATTGACAAACTAATAAAGTCAAGGAGAAAAGAACTAATAAAGCACCATTGCTAGGGCTGTTTATGAAGCGTATACATACATTTGAAGGCACAGTTCGTAGTCTCATTGAATTCGCAAAATATGAGGCTCTACGTTCAGATGAATTCGGGCTAAATTACGACAAGGTTTTGGGATGTTTGAGTGGGATTCCCAACGGACAAGTGCGTAAAAGTTGGCTACGGAACCAACGATTCCAAAAATTGCTTCCCTTCTCACCAAGGGCCGAAGTCTGGACTATCAGCTGTATTTACAACATACATGCTCCA